AAGTCCCCCCAGTTATTTTATGAGTTCCCAGGGAGCGGAGCCTTCAGTCTGCACAGCTTCTGCATGTCCCTCATCCCCGGCTCTAGCTCCTTTTGGTGCTGTAACTAGACCTCCACTGCTTGTGAAGGCAGGTGTGGCCCTCCTGTGCCTTTAGCACTGTTGGATGACACGGTCTCTGTCCAGACACCACTGCCATGGTGCCATCTTAGGGTCCTCGGGGTCTAAGGCAGCACCACCAAGGTGGCTGTGCACCAGGATGCCTTTCCTTCTCCTCCCTCCCCCTCCCCCATTATATTTTACACAGGGTGTGACAGAAGGGTTGTTTGTGCTTAATGCTTTAGAGAACTTACAGTGAAATACTTATTTCAGGTTTCCTGTATAGCCCTGCAGATCCCTCCTGGACACAGGCACATTCCCAAATCACGGCACACTAATGGGACCTCCGGGCATATGGCTTTCAGGGTGTCTCACCTCACTCCACAAGGAGGGGAGCTTCAGGGAAATCCCAGCCTAACTGCAGAACCCCAGTTGTGAAATATATATATATATATGTGTGTGTGTGTTTTAAATATATCTTTATTGATTTCAGAGAGAAGAATGTAGAGGGAGAGAGAGATAGAAACATCAATGATGAGAGAGTCACTGATCGGCTGCCTCCTGCACGCCCCCAACTAGGGATCGAGCCCGCAACCTGGGCATGTACCCTGACTGGGAATTGAACTGCGATCTCCCGGATCCTAGGTTAACGATGCTCAACCACTGAGCCACGCCCAGCAGCGTGAAATAATTTTTTTATTTGCTGATCTGAAATATGCTTCCATCTAGAGGAACAGTTTCTATTTTTTTTGAAGTTTTTCTCCATTTTAATATATTTTGCATTCATTCACTCATTAAATAATTAACAATATACCAGCCTCTTTACTAGGAACTAGAGATACATTGATGAATAAAATGGCCACAGTCCTTTCTTTTAGGGAATTCATACACATAAATATACAATTGTACAAAGAGTAAACGTATAAGTATACAAAGACAATCAAATATAATTATACAAAGATTTATAATCACAATAAGAACTATGGGCAGGGCTATTCTCATCTGGGGAAGATGACAGAAAGCTTTCCCTGGGAAATGACATTTAAATTGGGGTTTGAAGTATTTTATATATATTTATTTATATATATATATATTTATATATATATATATTTTTAAATATATCTTTATTGATTTCCGAGAGAAGAAAGGAGAGGGAGAGCGAGAGACAGAAACATCAATGATGAGAGAGTCACTGATAGAGTCCACAACCCGGGCATGTGCCCTGACCGGGAATCGAACTCCGATCGCCTGGATCCTAGGTCGACTTTCAACCGCTGAGCCACGTCCGACTGAGCTGAAGTATTATTTAGAGGGAGCCAAAAGAATGTCAAGGGGGGAGAAGGTGCCTTAAAGTATGACCAAAGGAACATTCAAGGAAGTGGAAAGACAAATTTGACTTTGAAAAGCCAACGGGAGAGTCATGTAAAAAGAGATGGGAATTACAGCAAGGTGCACAGCATCACACCCAGGGCTTTGTAATCAGTGCTGAGGATGTTGGATTTCAGCTTAAGAAAAATGGGAAGGATTTGAAGAGTTTTAAGCTGGAAAGTGACTTGAATTCGTGTTTTTCACCAGCCTTTCAGGCTGGCTGTTCTGTGGAGAATGGACAGTACGGGAGCAAAACCGGAGACTGGGTGACCTTTTAGGGGATGATGGTACCCGGAATTCAGGAAATGGAAATGGATTTTGAGATAAACAAATAGATTCAAGAAACATTTGAGAAGCAGAATTGACAGAATTTGGTGATCGACTGAAGAACCCTTATAGGCCCAGGGTGCAATGTGGTCTGCCTTCAGTGCAGTATTAGGTTAAAATAATTATTATTTTGGAAGAAAAATATAATTGGGAGCATTTCAGAGATTTACTCAGGATCTTGAGGAAATGGCAAATATTTTTATGGTATTATTTTAAATGCACAATAAATCTTCTTTAAGAATCCTCTTTTGCTATCTCTCACTCTATGTCTTTCACACACTTAGGAAGAAGCTTAAAAACAAAACTCTCTCATTTTATACGTGTTCTCAAAGGTCACCCAGCATCCGTGTGAAATGGCTTCTCATTGTACCTCAGCTCTTCATGACCAGTCCTGACAGCTTCCTTGGAGTGCCTTGTGAGAGTCATTGTTAAATTTTCAGGAATTTTAAACATGGTCTTTATTAAAAACTAAATAGTATATACCATCAATAAGTCAATAAACAATAAGTGCTGGTGAGGATGTGGAGAAAAGGGAACCCTAGTACACTGCTGATGGGCGTGCAGACTAGTGCAGCCACTATGGGAAACAGCACGGGATTTACTCAAAAAATTGAAAGTGGAACTACTGTTGGACCCAGTGATCCCACTTCTAGGAATATATCCTAAGAATCCCAAAACACCAATCATAAAGGATATATGTACCCCTATGTTCATAGAAGCACTATTTATAATAGCTAAGATCTGGAAACAGCCTAAGTGCCCATCAGTAGATGAGTGGATAAAAACATCTGTGGTACATTTACACAATGGAATACTATGCAGCTGTAAAAAAAAAAATTCTTACTCTTTTCAACAGCATGGATAGACCTGGAGAATATTATGCTGAATGAAATGAGCCAGTGAGAGAAAGATAAGTATCACATGATCTCACTTATAAGTGGAATCTAAAGAACAAAACAGGCCCAGAGGCATGGAACAGACTGACAGATCTGAGAGGCCGGGCAGGCAGTGGGGAAGATGGGAAGAGATTAACCAAAGAACAATAGTGGTGAAGGCCTGGGTGGAGGAGGGTGAAAGGTGGGGGGGAATTGGGGGACATATGTAATACTGTCAATAAAAAATAAATTCCTATATTTAAAAAATTAAATCATATAAATGTACAATTAAATATATTACATTAAAAACATTAAACATTTATCACCACATCACTGTCTGTGAGACAACTGGATAAATGGGTCTGGGCTCAAGAGTCAAATCTGTGCTGGAGAAACTCTTGTGGGAGTTAGAACATAGATATGGGGTGGCTTTACGGACTGGTGACAGGTTCCTACATATAGAAGGAACAGGTGCTGGGTTTAATGCTCTGCTGTTGCCATCTTAAAACTCTTAATTTTCAAACAAGGGGCCGTGTGTTTTCATTTTGCACTGGGCTGATCTAGGTGGTAGGGAGTTTGGGCTGTTATGATTTACTGCCTTCCATCCCTCGAAACAGGTATTTTGTCTCACTCACCTACTTGGTAACACTTTTGTAGATATTCCATCTGTTCCCTCAACCTGCAGATTCCTCACAACCAGCTCACAAAATTTCCTTCCACTTTCCCTCTGTAATGCTCCCTTCTCCTTCCTCTTTTGAAAACTGTTAACTTCCAAGGCATTAATATGTTAAGTAACTTCATGAAAATGTTTCTGTCCAGGTTGCAACGTCCCACAGGCTCACCTTCCACTGTGGTATTATGTGGTGGTTAAGACAGTTCTGGAATCAGAGGGCTGGGTTTGACATTTTGCTCTGATGGAGATAAGTTTCTTCGGTTTCTCTACACCTGTTTCCTGGTTTGAGAAAGGAACAATATTTACCTCTGAAGGTTATCGAGAACGTTAAACTAGGCAATGTACGTAAAGTGCCTAACAATGCCTCGCACATAGTAAGTGCTCAACTAATGGTAGTTAGTATAAAGGTCATCTTACTCATGTATGACGACTTAGGAACACCCGATAATAAAATCTGCACATGACACATAGTAGCAAGGTCTTAGGAGGAATCACTGGAGCACCGGCAGAGATGAGCCGGAAGATTCCAAGTTTTAAAAAAGAATTTTTCTGACCCCACAGTATGTTTGTCCCAGAGCGAACTGGACAAAGCTCCTCTTCTCCATGGTACCCACACACTAGCCTCTGGGGCAGAGATGCTGCCTTCTCGAGGCTGTGAAAAAGCCTTTTGGGGCATAAAGCTAAGCCTGTCGTGAGCACCTGAAATTCTGCAGGTTGTTTTCCTCACCAGTTTCCCCAGCTCCTGCCTAGCACAGCGCCTGGCACGGCAGGCGCCCACTTACAGGGCGCCCCCGGGCTCCCCTTCGGCCCCCAACCTCCACTTCTTCCGCGCCTCTGCCTGGGGCGCAGGAAAAACCCAGGCCCAGTT